GGGCTGCTCTGAGCGAAGCGCTCGCAACGCGCCACGCGCCGCTTCGTTTCCCGGGCACGAGGGAGCCGAGCGGCGGGGGGCCGACCGCTGCGTGCACAGGGCGGGCCCCCAATTGGGAGTCTAAGGGTTCCCTGGCACCTGGCTGACGGGTCCGCGCAGGTCGCCGTTCCCGATCATTTGCGCCTCGACGTCGTCCCGAAATTGGGTTCGCACCAGGACTGCAAAGGGCTTGTTCCTGCGTGCTTCTGCGCGCAGTCGGACGAAGACTTCCGCCAGCTGCTGCGGGTTGGGGCACGCCCGTTTAGGTACCTCGCCGGTGCGGAGCCATTCCTTCAGGAAGGTAGTTCGCCCGCGTTGCAGACATCGGGGGTCGAAGTGCGCGCCGACTGCGTCGTGCAGCTGTCGCCCCTCAAGTCTGAGGGCGGCCAGGCATGCTTCCAATCCAATGGCCCGGGCGCGTTCGCGCTCGCTCGGCGGGCGCAGTCCGCGCGCCCGTCCGCGCTGCACGAGCCATCTGCCCCGCGCGGCTACCATGGTCTCGTTGGATATCGATTCCCTTTCCTTGCCTGCGCAGACGCGTTGGAAGCCAGTCCGCACCCCTCTCCATTATCCCCCCCATGCGTCCAGGATGTTTCGGATGCGTGTCTTGACCGCTTCCAGGCTGCCCAGGAACCAGCGTTGTTCGTGATCCAGGTCGTAGGGCAGGCGGCGCACTCCAGTCTGGCACACGCTGGGCAGACTCTCGCCTGGGCCCCCGCGCGACCGCGCCAAGGCGGGAACAATTCCGTCGCCTCGGAAGGCCAATCGGGGCCCCCAGCGCGGGGCGATCCCCCAGGTAGCCCGTAGGTCGTCTGGCTGCGATGGAGGAAAGGACGCCAGCCAGGTCCGCTGCCGTGGTCCAGGGGCCCAGTCCGCGACGCCCATGACCTCGGCGTTGCTCGCGGGCAGGTCGCCGAGAGCCTCTCGCGCGCTATCGCGGCGCACCCCTTGCATTGGGTGGACGTTTTCACAGATAACGCGCACGTAGATGTCGCCACGTCGTCTGGCGGCATAGTGCAAGGCAAGAGGCGCAACGAAGAAATGCCACGACGCTCGCCCGGCCAGCCCGCCCCATCCCCCGTGGGCCCCGCCCGGCCCTGGAGAGATTGTTGCATGGGCTACCAGCCACCACCAGCAGGAGGCAGCGAGCAGGAAGCGAGTCGATTGAACAGCCCCACCGGGAAGCGCCTTCCGGGCCTTGCGTGAACAGGCCCCACACGCCGTGTGACAGCCAGGCGCGGGCGGGGCCTCCATCTTGGGCGCGCCCCCCGTTCGGGACGTGCCAGAGTTCCCCGGCGCGCGCTGCAAGGCCCCTGTCGATCTCGACGCAGGCAGAGCTGTGGAAGGCACAGGTAGCCCGCAGGTCTGCGGCCAGTTGCCCTTGCGCGCCTCGTCGCGTCGACGCCGTCGAAAAGCGATACGAGGGCGAACTTAGGCACCCCAGGTGATGCCGCGCCCGTTAGCGGCGCCTGGGGCGCTGATGGCACGACGCGGCTCGCCTGCACCCAACGAATGCCGCCGGAAACGTCGTCTGGGAACGTCATGGGCTGCACCCTGGTTACTACGCCGGCACACGCCAGGTCGTCCTCTGCGCGCGTTAGGGCATGATGGGCCCAGGTGCCCTCTCGGAGGTACGCGTGTATAAGCGGGCCTTGCGGTGGTACTGGAGCCACGCCTGTGTTTCGGTCGGCCGCGCGCTGCCAGGCGGCCAGCAGCACGTAACGCGCGTCTGGCGGGGTCGCCGTGGATGTGTCCGGGTCGACGCCGGCTGTGCCTCGGCGCCTCTGCCGCAGGCCCGTTGACGGCGCACCGGCGCCGCCTCCTTGCCGGGGTCTTCTGGACGCGGTGCTGCCGACACCGGGGGTCTGAGCGATTGACGCTGCTGGGGGCCTGTTATAATGTTGGGGAGCAGGCGGGTCAGGTGCACCTGGGTTAAGTGGAGGCCGGGGTGCGGTAGCGCCTCTTGTCGGGGCTGTGGGCGGGGCCATTCGGCGCCCCTCTAGCGCGGCTGGAACGTTCGCGCTCGCGGGGGGGCGTTGGCGGCCTCGGGGGTCAGCGGTGCGCGACCTTTGTCTCCTCCCGTCGGGGTTGGCGGGGGCGTCGCGCCCCGCGCGGCCCTGTGCTGGAGGACTGCATCTGCGCGGGGGCCCCATGAGTGCGTCGTGCGGTCTGGGCGCCTGGGGCCATCTGGTTTCTATCCTCACCGCCTGCTGGCGTGGGGCCTGCCGGCGTCGCTGTGGCGCTGGGGCGCCCCCCCGCCCCCCCCGCGTCGATTCCCGCGCGTTGCCGGGAGGCTCGGTGAGGTGAAGCGCGATGTGCGCCCCCCCGCCGCCGTCGACGGTAAGAGGGTGGTTTGGTGCTCGCTGCGGCCCCAGGCCGTCGCCCGTCTCCGGTTCTGCGCGGTCGGAGGCGCTGACGGCGCTTGGCCCGGAGACTGCCTCGCCGCCCCCCCGTTCGATTGCCCCTGCCGCGGCGCCGTCGGCGGCGCGCAGGAGCCCTGCAAGGGCAAAGATTGCGGGGATGTTCGCAGTAGCCTCGGCGGCGGCCGTCTGGGCGCGCGGGGCTCGTTCCGCCGCCTCGCGGAGAAAGCCGAGGCAAAGCGCGGGGTCTAGTGGGTCCATCGGTCGCGCTGGCCCCTGGCAGCCAAGCTGTCTTGCTCGCTGCCGCAATCTATGACAGGCGGAATCCAGCGCCAGCGCGTCGTTAACTCCGGCCGCGGAGACAGGGCTGGCGACCCCGAAGCGCGGCGGGAAACCCGGCAAGCACGCGGTGTTCCACAGGACCTCGAGCGCGTCAACTGCAGCTGGGTTGAGTCCGCGGGCGCCCCATAGGGCCCTTGCGCGAGCGCGCAATGCGTCGGCGGACGTAGCCCATATCAGCCATGTGAGCAGGTCGAGCCACGGCCCTCCCCCCCCTCTGTTTTCGGCGCCGATGATGCTGGTGGCTGTCTGATTGTCGAGGCGGCTGCTGAAAAGCGAAGTGAGGGCGTGCACCGTTTGACTCGCGAGTCGCTCCCAGTCGGTTTCGACTGATGGATGTAAGCCCAGCCCCGGCGGCCCAGGCGCGCCCCTACACACCGGGTCGGCAGGGTTGGCTCCTTCCTCCAATCCGCGCGCCGCTCCGGCCACTGGTAGCGGAGGGGGGGCTTCATTAGCACGACCAGCAATGGGTCGCACGCCCTCTCGAGCGCAGGTGCCGGGCGCTCCCGGGCGCGGGGGGTTGTCGTCGACCTGACAAGGCCGCTGGGGTGCGACCCCTTTCTGCGCCCATGGCCTGCGGCTGTCCGTTCACGGCGCGAGCGTCGCTCTCCCTCGTTCTAGTGTCCTGGGGGTGGGCGGGCGCTGCGGCGCCGTCGTCTGGGTCGTGGGCGGGGCTGTCCGTACCCGGGGCGGTGGCTCCCGTGGCATTCTGACCGCCTGTCCCGCGGGTGGCTGCTGCGCGGCGCTCCTGCGGACGAGCCGTGCGTCGCGCGCGTGCCTGTTGGCGGAGGGATGCTCTTTCGTTCGTTGCAGCTCTGTTGGCCACTCTGGGGCCGGGTATCTGGTCGCCGGCGCAGGCGAGGGATGCGGGGGCTGGTGTCAAGGATGCTTGCGGGTTTGACTGTGCGTTCGCATCCACCTGCACGGGGTCGCCTGGTTCATCTCCTTCCGCTTCGCATCTCTGATCCCTGCCTCTCGTGTTCCGTCCTGGCCCTCCACGCTGCCTGTCTGCCAGGTGCTGGTGGTAGACCCGCTCGTCTCTTGGCGCGGCCGCGGGCTCGGGTTCAGGCACGCGCTGCCCCACCAGCTCCCGCTCGCTGACCTCAGGGCGGGGCGCAGGGGGGGGTTCGGCAGTGGGCCTGATCAGCGAGGTGTCGTCCGCCATTCGGGAGCGATCGGTCGCGTCGAAAGGCAGCCGAGGGCGGCGCGAGGCGGGGGGCGCCGCCAGGGCGCGCGCGGGGGGCCGGCGCGCGGCCCAGGCGGTGCGTCGGACGCCTTGAGCCAGAGGCTTGACCCAGACATGAGCCAGAGGCTACGGTCACATACATACTCACACACAGACACATACAAACAAAACCAGTGCCGACCAGGCGGCGCCCCAGGAACGGGCCTGGGTTGTGAACCGGAGGCCTCTCGTGGATGTATATGAAAGTTTCTTGGGAAGTCATTCAGAAGCCGTCTTTGGGCCTCTTGGGGGTCTCCTGGGGGTTTCCTGTGGGCCTCCAGGGGCCTCTTGGAGGCCTCTTAGGGGCCCGGGCCCATCGGAGAGGGGCCTCTCGCCGGCGTCTTGGGAGCCTCTTGTGGCCTCTTGGGGTCTTATTGGGGGCCTCTTGGGGGCATCGGGGGTCCTCTTTGGGCGGGGGGCTTGAAATTTCAATTGGATTATCCCATCTTGGGTTCCTCTTGGAACCCTTTGGGGGCCGTTTTGGCCGCCTTGGGCGCCTCGTGGACCCTCTTGGGACCCTACTGGGCCGTCTTGGGGCCCTGTTGGGGGCCTCTCGGGCCGTCTTGGGGCGATGGCCGTTCGAGACGCCTCGTGAGCCGTCTGACACCCCTGGAGGCCATCTTGAAGGTAGTTCGCGACTGTCTTGGGGCGCCGTGACGCCCGTCGGACCGCTCTGCCTCGGCCTCGGGCCCCACATTTGTGGTAACGGCCGTGGCCCTCCAGGCCCGTGGGCCTGGTCCCCCGTTACACGCGTACTTGGGGCCCAGATGGGACCTCGAGCCACTAGGCCCAACGCAAAAAACCCTGCCCAAGAATCGGGGAAATCCGCTGCCGAGAGTGGATAGCCCATGGCAATCGGCTTCGGTGTCAGCGGCGTCGATGGCGTCGATGGCGTCGTCGTCGCCGTCGTCGTCGTCGCCGTCGTCCTCGTCGCCGTCGTCGTCGTCGTCGGCGGCGGCGGCGTCGTGGGCGTCGGCGGCGGCGTTGACGCCGTCGGCGGCGTCGGCGCCGGCGCCGCGAGGGGGGGGGGGGCTGGCCCTGGCCGGGCTGGGGCTGCTCGCCCGCGGCGGCGCCGCGCAGCGCTGGGGCGGGGCCTGGGCAGACTACCGCTGAGATTCGCGAGCGGGAGCGGCCGCCGACGACGACGACGACGACGACGACGACGACGACGACGACGACGACGACGACGACGACGACGACGACGAGGACGACGACGCCGACTTCTTTATAGCCCGGATGCTGCGCAGCCAGTGCCGCCAGGCTGGCGTCGCCGCCTCTGGCCGCTCTCGCGCGGCGCGGCCCACCGCTCACTGCGCGGTGGCTTCGGGCCCAAAGGGCAGACGGAGAGCCCCGCCGTGCCCTGCACTGTCCCCTCGAGGGGGAGAAGGCCAGCGGCGCCGGTGCAGAGCGGGCACAGGGCCCCCGCTCGCCCCAAAAGACCCAGGAAAAAGTTTGGACTCCGGGACCGGGGAACGACACGACACGACGACGAGCGACGGACGACAGCGAACGACAGGGGCGACGACGACGACGACGACGACGACGACGACGACGACGACGACGACGGCGGCGGCGGCGACGACGACGGCGGCGGCGGCGACGACGACGACGACGGCGACCTGATCCTCCTTCTTCTCATCATGCTCGTCCTCCTCCTCCTCCTCCTCCATACTCTTCCTGGCGATGACGATGGCGATGACACGCGCCCCCACACACACACACATACACCTGGAGAGCGTCCGCGCCGGCCGGCCACCGCCCAGCTCATGAATCCCACCAGCCCTCTGGGCGTCGGTGGTTTAACGAGTTTCCTCTTCCACCCCTCCCTCTTCCCCTTCGGGGAGGGGTTTACCCCTCCCCCTACCCCCTCCCCACTGAGCTGGACAGGGGGGGCCGCGGGTAGTTAGAGCGTCCAAGAACGACCCCTGGGAGGGCTAAAATTCGACACCCCTCACGAGGATCGTGGCTCCTGAGGGGGGGGCTGAAATTTAGGAGACCCTCTTCTTTGATCGATTTCCTCCACGATGGCCGCAAGGAGCCCCCAGGATGCCCCAAGAGGCCACAGGATGGCCCCAAGATGGCCCCAAGAGGCCCCCCAAGAAGCCCCCAAGAGGCCCCCAAGAGACCCCCAAGAGGCCCCAAGAGACCCCCCAGAGGCACCCAAAGTGCTCCCAGAGGCCCCAAGATGGCCCCAAGAGGCCCCAAGAGGCCCCCAGGAGGCCCCAAAGAGGATTCCGAACGGCCCACAGAGGCCCCCCCGAGGCACCCAAGACGCCGAAAAGCCCCTCAGGACGACCCTCTACTCGCTTGGGCGTCGTTTCTGGACGGGCTGGTGGGGATATTTTACAGCCGCAGGCGGAAGCGCCAGCGGCAGGCGGTCACGGTCGGGCTGCGGCCGCGACTAGGGGGGCGGGCGCGCGCGGAGCCGCGGTCAGGCGGCAGGCAGCAGCGACCCAGGGCGTCTGAGCCAAGGCGTGCATCCAGGGAGTCTGCAGGGCAGCCCCTGAAAGGAACATGCAACGGCGCATCCAGGGAGTCTGAACAGGCACCGAGGAAGCCGAGCGCAGCCAAAATGGCGCGCAAGGCGTTCCCAACAGTTCAAATAAGAACGGGTGGGGAACCGTCCCGAGCGGGACGTCAATCCAGGGAGTCTGACGGGTAGGCACAAACTGCCTGGTGACACAGTCCAGCGGGGAAGCCCTGACGGCGGCGGCGGACCATCGCGACGTCAGAACACGCATCCAGAGAGTGGAACAAAGTAGCCAGGGAAACAAATTGGTGGGGATACTATTTTTTAACGGCCGCAGGCGGAAGCGCCAGCGGCAGGCGGTCACGGTCGGGCTGCGGCCGCGACGAGGGGGCGGGCGCGCGCGGAGCCGCGGTCAGGCGGCGGGCAGCGACAACCCAGGGCGTCTGAGAAGCAAGGGCGTGCAAATCCAGGGAGTCTGCCGGGCAGCCCCTGAGGTAAACATGCAACGGCACATCCAGGGAGTCTGAGAGGTCAGCCTCCGAGGAGAGCCGAGCGCAACCAAAATGGCGCGCTAGGCGTTCCCACTGTGAACGAAACGGACGAACAGAGGTAGGGAACGATTTCCGTGCGGGACGTCAATCCAGGGAGTCTGACGGGCATGGGCAGACTGACACTGGCGACGCAGTCCAGCAGGAAAAATAAACGGACGGCGCCAGCAAACCGTCGCGACGTCAGAACACGCATCCAGGGAGTAGAAGCCTAAAACGCCCGAGGAAGAACCTTCCACTGCTGAGATGCGCCTGCGTCCAAGGGACCAGCGATCTGGTCAGAACGCAGCAAGGTGCACGAAGCCCCACAGTGAGAACTCGTTGGTCGCTGAGAAGTGCACCGATCAATGCGACCCAGCGCCACCCACACGCCTACGCATGGTAGCACCCGAGGGACGGGACCGTCGCATACCCAAGACGCGCCCCCCACAGCCACATCGTTCCAGGGGGCACGGCTGAAGGCCGTAGAAGCTGGTAGAATCCACGGAGTGGCGCAGTCTATGGACAGGCGAAAACCGCCGGATCGCCCACACCGCGCGCCAGGCCGGGCCTAGCAGGCGAAAACAACTACAGTGAGGCCAGGGGCCCCGGGCCCACACGCAACCGAGATTGCCGCGTGGACGATAATACTGGCACGCACACTTGCATCCAAAGGCAGGAAGTGCGCGTGCCAGGGGGGGCGGCGAAAGCCGCAAGCAGGTAAGGGGCGAGGAGCAGGAGGGCGAGGGAGGGGAGGCACGGGGCGACCATTGCGCGCCCAGCAATGGGCATGGGAAGGGCTGGGGTGAGAGAGGGGGATAAGCTAGGCGGGAGGGCATCATGCCTGCCGTTATCAAATCCAGGGAAGCGACTGAAGGTCGCAGAATCAGTGTGCATCGCGGGGTTGAACGCATCACCCCCGTTTGGCAGAAGGCCAACGGTTATCGTGCGCATGTGGCGTCGGCGGAAGCGTTCCCGTTCCAGGGAGCAAGGGGCGACGGCTGCCCTGGCGGGATGGTGTCCTGTGATCCAGGGTGAGGATGCCTTGAGTCAGCCAATCCGCTGGCCCCAAAGTCGTCGACTGGCGACGCGGTCATCGTCTCTCCAGGGATGTCAGGACCTGGATGTCGAGCTGAAGGCTCGTCACTTCTGTGATTACCGGATACGCCTTGGACCCTCGAGCTGAAGGCTCGTTCCGCGTGAGTATCTCGAGCTGGAGGCTCGTCACATCCGCGACTGTCCGAGCGGGGGGCGGGTGGTTGACGAAAGTATTCGGGGTTACAGGAGTGTCCAGGGAGTTGACTGGTCGTTGCATCGCCGTCGGCGCGGAACAGTCCGCTTGGGGCGCCCCAAGCAGCAGGATCGTTCGATGCTGCCGTCTCGCTGGGAACTCCTCGGGCTGAAGGCCCATTCTCTGCGTGCGAAGTGCTGTCAACTCCAGGAAGGGCGGCGGGCGCGCGGCGACTCCCGTCGCCTCTCGTGGCCACATGCCCAGCGGCACTGGACGCGTCCAAGGGAGGGTGGCCGGCGGAGTGTGGGCGCGAGCCAATGGGATGTGGATCGGGGACGTGGGCGGAATGCGCTCGGTCCGGCTCGTCCTTTCTGGAACTGTGAAATATGCCTGTGGAGACTCCACCATCCGCTCGGGGAGGCGTCGTGGACCTCTTGTCGGGAGGAAACTGGTCTCCAACCGCGGGCGCTCCCTCAGCAGCACTCCCACCTGTCGCCACAATACTGTTGCCATGGGGGGGGGCAATGGGGTATGAGGTGGTGGCCGACGGCCCCAGCGACTGGCAATGTGATAGCTTGAGCTCGCGCCGCCACAGGTTGAGCCCCAACCGCTTGAGCATCAACAGATAGCGCCCTCGAGATACTGTTGTCAGGGGAGGAGCAATGGGATGTGAGGTGGTGGCCGACAGCCCCGGCGACTGGCAATGTGATAGCTTGAGCTCGCGCCACACGCTGATAGGAAGGAGGAGCTGCACCTCGACTGTCCAACTGGGGGGCGGGTGGCTGACGAAAGTCCTCGGGGTTACAGGGGTGTCCAGGGAGTTGACTGGTCGTTGCATCGCCGTCGGCGCCGAACAGTCCGCTTGGGGCGTCCCAAGCTGCAGGATCGCTCAGAGCTGCTGTCTCGCTGGGAGCTCCTCGGGCTGAAGGTCCATTCTCTACGCGCGCAATGCTGTCAACTCCAGGAAGGGCGGCGGGCGCGCGGCGACTCCCGTCGTCGCTCGTGGCCACGTGCCTAGTGGCGCCCCCGACAACCATTGGTGCCGCCTCCGATTCTCGAGCTGAAGGCTCTTCACCTCTGTGGTTGCTCGATGTGTCAGTCTCTGGCTCTCGAGCTGAAGGCTCGCCCTTTCTGAAGCTGTGAGATATGCCTATCGAGACTCCCCCATCCGCTCGGGGAGGCGTCGTGGACCTCTTGTCGGGAGGAAACTGGTCTCCAACCACGGGCGCTCCCTCAGCAGCACTCCCACCTGTCGCCACAATACTGTTGCCATGGGGGGGGCAATGGGGCATGAGGCGGTGGCTGACGGCCCCGGCGACTGGCAAAGTGATAGCTTGAGCTCGTGCCGCCACAGGTTGAACCCCAACCGCTTGACGCTGATAGGAAAGAGGAGCTGTAGGAACGCCTGTCTGCCTGTCTCTGGTGCACGAAACACCGCCCCATCCAGGATGCACGTCCGCAACGCCCCTGGACCACTGAGCTCTCGACCCCATCCCAACGCCCTGGACCCCAGAGCTCTCGACCCCATCGCCGCGTCCAGGACCCCTGAGCCTGCCAGGTGTGTGGCAGCTAACGGCTGCACCGGCAGTGGAAGAAACTACAGGGAAGGACGTGCCGTCGTCTGAAGTGACTCCAGGTTGGCAGCTAGCGGCTGCACCGGCGGTGGAAGAAACTCCAGGGAAGCACGCGCCGTCGCATCTCCCAGGACCCACAACCGAAGTGTCATCGAGTCCCTGAGCTCTCGACCCCATCCCAACACCCAGGACCCCGGAGCTCTCGACCCCATCTCTGAGTCCAGGAGCCAGGAGACCGCCAGGTGCGCGCCCGGCGGGGACTCCTTCGCCGCCATCCACAAGGGACAATCCA